CTTTAGCCCAGGAGTTGGAGGTTGCTGTGAGCTGTAATGCCACGGCACTCTACCCAGGGGGACAGCTTGAGGCTCTGTCTCAAAAAAAAAAGGTTCTTTCTGGCAGGAAAGTACGTAAGCTACAGTAGGTTGTTTTTTGTTTTTTAACTACCTAAATAGTAGGACAGCATGAGATGGCATAATTAAATGCCCCTTCATCATGGTACCAGAAGTCAGCCCGAGATTTCCACTCTTCATTGGCACTACGTGGCAGAAGACAGTTCTGGCCCAGGCAAGGGAAATTGACTTGTACCCTACTTCTAAATATGTTTTCACTCTCTAAGACTCTCTTGTTTCCCTCTGTGGTTGAAAGTGTTGCTCTCAAATCACACTACCTGCATTAGAATCCCACCCCGCCTCTTGCTAGCCATGTGACCTGGGAAGTTACTGAACTTTTCCAGGGAGTGTTTTCTGCATCTGTAAAATGAAGACAGTAACTAGTTTTTAGCTTCTGCGATTGTTGTGATAACTAAGTGAGATAAACCTGGAAGGGGGTTTTATGCAGCGCTTATAATAACACGTGGTTCTCAGTAATGGCTGTTATCACTGTTCTGCGTAAGAGAGAAATACATTCAGAAAATACGCTCTGGTTCCTCTTTGCCTTCTTAGATAGTTTTATCTTCTAGGTCTTTCCGTGGTATCAGCGACCAAAGAAAGAGTCTTGAATTTTAACTACAGCAGTCGTACGCGTCCATTCATTCCTAGTGTAGCTGGGTTACTGGTCTCCTGTACCGTGTGGTCCAGGCCAGGCACAGCACACGTTTTTCCATAAAGGGCCAGATAGTGAATAGCTTGGGCTTGGGGGCCATATACGGTCTCTGACTCATATTTTTTCCTCCTTTAAAAATACAAGAACCATTCTTATCCTGAGGGCCACACAAAAACAGTCTGTAGGCCACAGTTTGCTGACTCTTTTTCTCTCTGATCTTGTGCTCTAACACGGCAGAATTTTGAAACCTGAGGTTGTTTTGAACAATCTTTCAGGTCAAAAGATGCTGGTCAAAAAACATTTAAGTGTTAGTGTTAAAAATGGAGTCCAACTGAAAAACAGCACACTCTCTTCCCCCACCCTCAAGCACCTGTATTATACATATATAAGGAGTTTTTAAAGTTGTGTTTCTGAGACCAACACGGGATTTATGAAGGAATCCATTAGGACCAGTTTGACAAATGTACCAATTTGGACAAGCTCTGTGCCTGTGGTTTTATTCCAGATTCACTTAGAGCTCAAGTCATGATTTTAATTTTAAATTCCTAGGCTTTTGTACCATCAGGTCTCTTGTCTGGAGCAGTCTTGTTTTATGAAAATAGTGTCTGTTACTGTGAAGTAAGCTAACCATAATGAACACAAGTGTGACACTTTTTCACAGCAAAAAACAAAAGTACAGGCACAGCCTTTTTGAAATGACAGTATTAAATTGCCAGTGACGGTGGTGAAGAAAGTATTTTAATTGACAACTGAAATAGTGCTCGTAAAATGTAATTGCCAGGGAGAACATGCCAGTTCATCATTCCTTAAGCTGATTCTCCATAGGCTGAAGCATTCTGTGAGGTTCTAGGGAGGGAGGAAAACCTTGTTATATAAACTGCTTTCTGGCTCCTTTAAGACTGAATAAGTGAACTTGATTTATCAGGTTCTGTGTTGACCTTGGAGATGTTCAGGGGGAGGGTGTGTCTCTTATTCATGCTTACTCCCTCTGCATTTGGGGTTTCCGAGGTAGTTACTTCTGAGATACAGTTTTGCTGATGGGATGGCTTCATTTATCCCTAGGAGAGCTCCAGTGAAGGTGGCGATGGCATTTTTGGTGAAAAGAAGGATGAGAGCCGGGCAGGTGAGACAGTATCCTTCTAAAGGCAAATGAAAGTAAAGTCCCAATTTGTTATTATCCTGGAGTGTTATATGTGATCCAAATGCTGTTTTCTTTTTCTTTTCTTTTCTTTTCTTTTTTTTTAAACAGAATCTCACTATGTCAACCTCGGTAGATTGCCATGGTGTCACAGCTCACAGCAACCTCAGACTCTTGGGCTTAAATGATTCTCTTGCCTCAGACTCCCAAGTAGCTGGGACTACAGGTGCCCACCACAATGTCCGGCTATTTTTTGTTGTTGCAGTTGTCATTCTTGTGTAGCTGGCCCTGGCCGGGTTCGAACCCACCAGCCTCAGTGCACGTGGCCGGTGCCATAACTACTGTGCTACAGGCACAGAGCCCAAAATGCTATTTTCTAAGGAGGCTCTTTTAAAAAGCCAAGTAAATTGACCTTCATCAAACTCCCCTGGACTCACACACAGAGCTTTAACATGGCTCTGGCTTCCTCTGTTTGGCATTAAAATTCAAAAGTGAAGGATTGGCACCTGTAGCACGGTGGTTATGGCACCCGCCACATGTACCAAGTCTGGCGGGTTCAAACCTGGACCTGGCCTGCTAAACAACAATGACAACTGCAACAAAAATATAGCCAGGTGTTGTGCTGGGTGCCTGTAGTCCCAGCTACGTGGGAGGCTAAGGCAAGAGGATCTCTTAAGCCCAAGAGTTTGAGGTTGCTGTGAGCTGTGACGCTACAGCACTCTACCAAGGGTGACATAGTGAGACTCTGTCTCAAGGGAAAAAAGAACAAAAAACTGTAACTGGTTTGATTAAGTTACTGAGTCAGCTTTCTTTTTATTTAAACAAAATCAAAAAACGTTCACCCCTATTTTAGTTCGCTTTGTAAATACTAATATCCTCACTGATGTTTGAAGCCCAGGATGGCTCCGACCCAGACAAATCACCCTGGCCAGTTTCATCTGCTCTCACAGCTCGTCTCAGACGTCTGGTCACCATTTACCAGCGCTGCAACCGGAAGGAACTCTGCCGACCTGAAATTCTGGGACCAGGTAACCAAGGATACTGGGTTCAGGAAGAAATGTTCAGGAGAACCTCAGAAATGGACCTCATCAACAAAGAAGCTCAAAAGAGGTAAAAGCCAACACCCAGAAGGGCATACTGAGCTACCCTCTGTGCAGAGGTGACAGAAGGTAAAGCAGGTAGTCAGCGGAAGACCAGTGCACTTCTGTTCCCACGTGAATTTAGGGCATTTCCAGAATTCATCAGACGAACCTTCACCTGTGAAGGTGCTGTCATGGTGATGGGAGTCTGGTGAGGTTTAGGACACCCTCGTGCACAGTCCAGGCTTTTATGGTTTTCCAACTTAACACTCTTCCCTAAGTCAGACTCCAGTCCCTGGGGATATGGTGTAGAAACACCACCCTGGAATAGTTCAGACCCCTCTTAGGTCTTTTAGTAACATAGGGAATAGTATACACTGAAGCTTGTTGTATTTAATTGCTACAAATCCTTACAAGCCTTTGAGAGCAATGACTGTCATAAAATCTAAGCCAAGAAGAAAAGTGTCAGTTACCAGGAATTACATGCCCGTCTTGAGATTACACTAAAAGGCTTACAGAAGGCCAGCACAGACTGGGAATGATTCCACCCCAAAAAAATAATTCTTTAGAGTTCTAATGTCCCTCTATCCTTCTGATAAAACATCCAGTAAATTAAAAGAAGACCACATTCAGTCACTTCTCCATGCTCTTTCTGACTTTATGAAATTTGATACTTCAGGGAAAGTATTTCTCCCATCTTGCACAGCTCCAAAGAAAAGAGCCAGACCCTCTTCTTTCCTGATTCATACTCTTCCACTGACCCCTCACCCCACTCCCCATTCCTAGTTGGACTCATTGTGCGGTGAAGAGTACCATGCCCCAGAGCCCCTCATAAAGACTGTGGTGGTATATAATTATCCAGCTCCCTAAGTCATTAACTTACTTCTGTAGGATACAGAGATTAGAGAGCCCTTGTGTCTGAGAGAAGATAATTGACGTGGGCAGCCCACCTATATAAAACCAGAAAGGATAGGAGTCAGGACGTTACAGAAAAGCAGTTCCTTCATCTTTAAGATTAGGAAGATGAAACTAATGGTCTGGAAGTTCTCGCGTGGATTCTCTAACTCTATATTGTATATAGGGAGGAAAATAAGGCAGAATACTTCACCATGTATAGTATTTTGAAAATCTTTATCTTCTATAAGCAGAAGTTAATAACTAGATATTTCCCCAAATTAATCAAGAGACAGCAAGCATTGCACACCTGACTTACAGACAGGCAGGCAGATATCAAAAGGAAGAGCCGAAGATTTGAAAGTAGCTTCCTCTTTCATAGTAAGGTGATAGGCTGTTTTCATTATGAGCCTCTCAGCCCAAATAATAAAATAGGCAAACAGTTCCACCTACTTTCTTGACTTCATGGACTGTCACATAGTAGGCATTCAATCTGTGGTTGTTGGCTTTTCTTAAAAAGTAAAAACAGCTCATTCTCCCTTTCTGCTTAAATCTCAAGGTGGACTAGGAGAGAGCAAGCAGACTTCTATAGAACAGTGTCTTCTTTTGGTGTTGTTTATGATCAAGAAAAGAAAGCCTTTGACTGGACACAGTTCCGTATCATATCCCGTTTGGACAAGAAGTCGGATGAGAGCCTGGAACACTATTTTTATAGTTTTGTGGCCATGTGCCGGAGTGTCTGCCGTCTGCCTGCATGGAAAGATAGTGGTGAGAAAACGCTCTGTCAGTATATTGTCAAATGAGACAAAGACAGATCATGCTGGTTTCTCAAATTGCGTAGTTACTTTCACTGTAACTATAAGGTCGAGTCTATCCAAGGAATTTAGGTAAAAATAAATAAGTTTTTAGAAATTCATGAATTTCTAATTGGGTTCCCACTCTTAAAACCTCTCTCCCAAAATAAAAATATAGCTCCAACAAAAATTGAAATTCAGATTAGGACTTCACTGACACACTGAAAGACTACTATTAACGACTTTTTCCAAAAGTTTTTTTTTCTGAAGTCACATCAAGATTTATCCTATTCTGAACTTTGCTGCTTCCGTAGATTAAAGCTTAATGATTTTAAATATTGTCTTCTAACTATAGAACATAAATGGCTGATCTAGTAGAGCCCCCTTGAGAAATCTCTTCCTGGTTGGCATTCTAACAGTTTCTTTTCAGTCTCCTTCAGCCTCGTATTTATAGATAAACTTGCTGTAGACATGTGCCCATACTTCAGGAAAGCAAAAACTAACACTGAACCTATCCAGCAAGGGTTCAGGGCTAATGGCAGCACGCAAAGACATTCCAACCTTTGTTCCCCTACCCCCATGTGGCATCGTTAAAGCATTTCATGCAGGCCAGGAGGTTGGCTATGTTGAAAAGATCTGGGCTCGGCGCCTATAGCTCAACCGGCTAAGGCGCCAGCCACGTACACCTAAAGTGGCGGGTTCGAATCCCCAGCCCGG